TATATATCAGAGTGAGCTCTGTTTCTCCATCGCCACTTTGGAACGTCTTCAAATGTTATTAGCCTTTCAACTTGCAAACCTCCACATGTGCCTCTTAGAACAACGTTTATGAAACACCACACGGCTTTTGGCCCGTTCCAGCAAAGTCAATGTACAGTTTTTTAGAGTTCTGTTTATATAAGATGACCTTCGTGACGTTACAGTTTGTTCGTGTGACATCCGTGATGAGTTCAGGCGAAAAAATGCAAAGTCGTCCTTCTGCAGACTCAGTGTGTTTGGACAACGAGGCCATGAGCTAATGAGCGCACGCACTTCTAAGCCAAACCCCCCCAAGGGTGGCTTTGGAGGACACATGTCACCGTGACTGTCGCGGTTCTGTCCACTCATCATCTCTGAACAACAAACAGCACACAACTCAAAACGGGAAAATGCAAACCGAGGGAGGAACAGCCACCGAGTCACTTCCCTGCAGGTCGTTCTGACCCGGTCCAACTCGTAGAATTAAACCTGAAACTAGAAATACAATCTAAATACAGTAGGTTTGAATGACTTGTGTGTGCGGTTTTTACTTCCTGGAACAGATGTGAGCTGGCACAACCCCCCACTGCTCTACTCCAGGGTTTAAATAAAACATAAAGCCTTAATGGCAACGCTCCAAAGGAGGGTTCCATCAAGAAGAAGTGCGTGCGTCCAGAAAAACAAGCAGCATTCGGCTTCAGCTCCCAACTCGAACAAGCCCATGTCCCTCGTCTCTGAGGGATTTGAACAGTGAGCGTTTGTATTTTTGGAGATGAGTGGGTTTTTTTTTTTTTTTCTGGACTGGAACTAAACAGAGAATGAATTAAACTGAAATGTTTGTGATGCAAGATATTCAAGTGGGGAGGAGTTTCACTGAAGAACAGAAGGAGGCGTTTGTTTCTCTTGTCAGAGGCAGAGCAGAGTGATGGACCACAGAGAGTAGAGGGGGCAATTTTATCCATCACCAGGGGTGGAGCCAGGGGGTGGCCATTGGTGGTCTTGGCCAGTGTAGCTTATGCTTTGATCTGACAATTACTTGAGGAAACTAAAAGTTTAAGCTATATAAAAACTAGAAATAAGTTTCTTCAGATGATCAGGGTGGTTGGTTTACACACACACACGTTCTTGTAAACATGCTTTTTGGGGACTCTGCATTGACCCATTCCTTTTCTTTAGCCTATCTCTGACCTTTACGCTAAATCTAATCATTACTAGTACATGCCTAACCCTAACCCATGTGCAATTCACACCTTAGTCCTAAACCTAACCTCTAACCCCCCCAACGAGACTTCTCCTTATGGGGACTTGGCTTTGGTCCCATAAAGAGCAGTTGGTTCCCACAAAGCATGATTTTTTTTGTCAAATCTGTCCCTACAAGGTAAACTGAAACAAAAACACTTGTATCTTCCGTGGGTGGGGTGGAGACGGCGACACGTCTGTGCAGGGCGACAGGTCTGTGCAGGGCGACAGGTTTTTTTGGGGGAGGGGGGGGCAACCATGGGAGAAACAGCTGAGAGAAACGGGGCGCTAACTGTAGGTTTTTAGCTAGCGCATCTGTAATGCACACTGCTAGCTTAGCGCTATTATTATTATTCCATCCATCCATCCATTCCTCTATGGATCTATCTGTGGATCCATTAAACCATCCAGCTATCTTTGGATCCATCCATCCATCTATGAATCTAGCCATGAATCGATCCATTCATCCATCCATCCATGCATCAATCCAGCCATCTATCCTTGGATCCATCCATCCATTTATGGATCCATTTGTGGATCCATCCATCCGTCCATCTATAGATCTATTCGTGGATCCATCCATTCATCCATGGATTTATCCATCTGTGGATCCATCCATCCATCCATCCATCCATCTGTGGATTCATCCATCTATGTATGGATCTATTTGTGGATTCATCCATCCATCCATCTATGGATCTATCCGTGGATCCATCCATCCATCCATGGATCCATATATGGATCTATCTGTAGATCCATCCATCCATCCATCTGTAGATCCAGCCATCCATCCATCCATCTGTGGATCTATCCATTCATCCATCTAGCCATCTATCCTTGGATCCATCCATCCATCTATGTATCTATACATGGATCAATCCATCCATCCAGCCATCTATCCTTGGATCCATCCATCCATCTATGGATCTATTTGTGGATCCATCCATTCATCCATCCATCTATGGATCTATCTGTGGATCCATCCATCTATCCTTGGATCCATCCATCCATCCATCCATCCATCCATCAATCTATGGATCTATCTGTATCCATCCATCTGTGGATCCATTCATCCATCCATCCATCCATCCATCTGTAGATCCATCCATCCATCCATTCATCTGTATTTAGGTGTCAAACTGATACTCCCGACTGTTTAAGCCTTTATTTTCGGGCATTTGAAGCAGAAATAAATCCTGTTTCACTGTTTTATATCGGCAGACTAAGCTGGCTGAAATGAAGAGTGTTCTGGAAGATTGTTTGATGGTTTGTGGCTGAGCGGCAGCTCTCCAAGGTGCTGAACTCAATCTCCAAACTCCAAGGAACAACTCCATCCATCCATCCATCCATTTTCTTTACCCGCTTATTCCATTTTGGGTCACGGGGGTCGCTGGTGCCCATGTCCAGCAATCACTGTGTGAGGGGCGGGGTACACCCTGGACGGGTCGCAAGTCCATCACAGGGCCACATAGAAACAAACGAGACAAACAACCATTCACTCTCTCACTCACACCTAGGGACAATTTAGAGTTACCAATCAGCCTAACATGCATGTTTTTGGACTGTGGGAGGAAACCGGAGTACCCGGAGAAAACCCACGCATGCACGGAGAGAACATGCAAACTCCACCCAGAAAGGCCCCTGGACCGGGGTTTGAACCAAGGACCTGCTCACTGAGAGGCAGCAGCTCTACCAGTTGCGCCACCGTGCTGCCCAAGGAACAACTCATCGTAGCCAAAAACTTTGCTGCCACTTCAAAACCAAGTTTGGGTTTCTGCAGCTGCTAACAGCAGGCGAGCTCTGTCCAGCATCACCGTGATGATAAGGGATGCAGAGAACATCTGGTGGAGCACCAAGCGGACCTCTCGGTTTGGTCTTGGTCTGTTCGAGGACCAAGCGGAGGAGACGAGCAGCTTGGATGAAGGAGGAAAAGTTGCGGCAGACTGAGGTGAGGTCATGCAGGGCTGCATCCTGCCTCTGGAAAGTCTGATAATAAGTTTGCAACCCCCCCCCCCCCCTCCTCCACCCCCATCACCTCCCTGTAGACAAGTGACTGCAGAGAACTCACCAGTTGGGTTCTTGTTCTTCTTGAGGCTCCTGCCACAAAGACACTGCAGCATATGCGATCCTTTGCAGAAAAGCTTGTTCCAAATAAACCGCATGGATGTGGCCGAGGAGGAGGAGGAGGAGGAGGAGGAGAAGGAGGAGGAGGTGGGGGTAGAGAGGAGCTCCGGATGCGGCAGCCTAATAAAGCTCACCCACCGCATGGGGGCTGGGACGCCCCCCTGTTTGCATGCCAGCAGAGCCGGACAGCCGTCGGGCTCAGTCCGGAGGAGCTGCGCCCCCCCGATGTGCACCATAGACAGGAGCACGAGCAGGAAGCCCGGCTCCTCGCCCGCGCGCAGCCCAGAGACCACCAACCGCACGCACGCCGCGTCGACGTCGCCCCCGCGCGGCTGGAAAAGCGCGGCCGCTGCGGCGGCTCTCTCCTCCTCGGCTGCGGAGGAGCGGGGGCTGCCTCCGCACGCCCGCCGCGACTTCAAGAACCCGCGAGCGCACCTCCTCTCCGACTGGCGTGGGGAGCCGCGCGGAGCGGGGCGCGGAGCGGAGGACGCGCATGCGGCGGCGCTAGCGCGAAGTCGGCGGGACGCGGCAGCGGTGGGCTTGTGCACAAAAAACCATTGCATATTAGTGAGGGAGGGGGGCGGGAGTCCAGTCAGTCAGGAGGGGGGGACCTGCCGGGTGTCAGTCAGCAAGTCAGAGAGTACCGCAGCAGGGGCGGGGGTGGGGGCTCCTCTCCAAACACACGCTGGACCAGCGCTGCTTCTGTTCTTTGTCCGTGCGTGTGCGCGCGCGCGACACTGGAGCGGCCAGACTGCGCTCTTCAAAAAAGTCCCGCAGATTTTTGGAGCCTTTCTCTCCTCACTTCTCAAGAATCCCGAAGCTCCGATGCGCCACGACGCTGCCTCCTCCTCCTCCTCTCCTCCTCCTCCTCCTCCTCTCCTCCTCCTCCTCCTCCTCCTCCTCCTGAGGAGGAACCTCCAGGGATGAGGCCCGGTCCACTTCAGGAACTTGCTGGGAGGCGCTCCGGTTCCGACCCTCGGGCCTCGCAGTCTCCGGCGGGTCTCAGAACCGACCTGCGGACCCGTGAGGCGCGAGGAGCTCCCAGTTCCATCGAACACCTGTTCCGGTTCGAAACTTCACAATAAAAGACAGATAGAGAGATCCTCCTTGTCAGGGGCGGAGCAAGAGAGGGGTGGACGTGGTGCCCGGAAACTGATTGGCCACCCCATTTGATTGACAGTCAAGAGCCTTCAGCTGGAATATAATACAAAGTGACGTTGAAAATAATTATTTGATATAAAATGCACATTAAATAAAATGTCAAATGTAAATGTGCTGAATTCTTAGGCCTTCTCTGCAGGACTAGAAGGCCCTGAGGTGTTTTATAACATGCATTTTGGTTAAATACAATCTCCAGAGTATTTCAGGAATAAGTCTCCTGTGTGCTTGAGTTTGTGGGTCATAACTTTAAAGTAGAGGGGGGGACCCATGCCTTGGTGATGACTACAGTGATGTAGTGTGGGGGGAGGGGGTTGCTATAAAAAGAGAAATGCATGGGTTATGAAAATGGTCAAAAATGTACGATCTTTAGGTAACAGGAGGGCGAAACAAAATTATTTTCTTTATTTCAGGTGCAAAAGATGCAACAAAAAGGGCCTTATCCCCCCTTACATAGAAGTCTAGCTCCGTCACTGCTTCTCACGCAGATGGATTTATTTTGTCTGGCTCAAATAAAGAGAGTTTTTGTTTTGAGCATTTAAAATAAAGCAGCGTTGTTATAAAAACGTCCTTGTTTTTTGGTTAAAATAGGCCAGAAAGTAAACTTCAGATAAATTAATTACTTTTATTTAACTATGTGCCAAAACTTTAAAAAGTGAATAATGATAATAAAAAAAACTGTATCTTGTTAAAAAAAAAGAAACTGGTGTTTTAAGAAATCATCCATGCAAGCAATCTTGAGTGCTGGGTCTGCTCTTATTTTGAAGTCATAAAGCCACTTCCGGCATTCTTGTGCATCTTTGCTGCAGAGAGAAGCGCTCCCAGTTAGTGTAGACACGTGGTTCCCACACTTGATACAATCACACAGCCAACATTTTTTGTGGGGTGGGAGGACACCAGCAGGTGGAGGTAAACAAAAACAAACATGTTTGTTTGTTTGTTTTCCTGCCCCTGAAGAGCTGATTTGACCCGAAAACCGAATGATGCTCCTGTTAATCCACCTGTTGCTGCTCCACATCTAGTCTGATTAAAGCTGGTTTTGCTTGGTGTTGAGGGTCCAGATGAACCAGGAAGTGGGTCTCCATGCGGTTTCTGGACTCCTCAAGGTCTTGTCTCGGTGGTGGACTGCAGGGTTTGAAGCTGAGGGCTGCTGCGGCTGAATCGGCACACTGCAACACACAGGGGCGCCACTAAAGGGGGGTCAGAGTGGACAATGGCCACCTCTAAAAAACTGGTGGACCCCCCTATAGTCAGACAGTTTTATCTTTTTGAGGCTCAAGCTTTTGCTTGGTGTGCGTTTAAAGTTTCCTCGAGGTCAGATTGGAAAAAACAACAACGTATAAACTTTTTTTTAATTGTTTTTGTTTTGTTTTTTTGGGGGGGAGGCATTACCAATTAAACATTAAACACATTATTATCATTAAACATTTTCATTAGAGTCTACTCTACTTTGTAAGAACATAGTTCCCGTAAAACTCATAAAAGTAACTTGATTGTCATAAAAGTTTTATTCAAATTAAAGTTTGAGATTTGGCTTTTTATGGAAGACAAAACAAATGTAAGGACAGTTTATGTGTTTGTTGTTAAATTCTAGATGAAATAAGCATCTCGATGCAGATTACTGTAACTAATATTACATATTATGAATATTATCATCATCGTGTATCATACAAAACTGTCCAGTATTAAAGCTCGCAGGTAGTTTTATGTATGTGTGTTTGCTAATAAAATATATTGGATGAATTTTGGTCAACCTAATCAATATTTGCTTGTTATACCTTGAGAGGTAAAGTTGATGGAGGCTAAAACAAAAGGCAGAGTTGCTGATGCTCAGACCGACAGGAAGAAGAAAAATAACTTCAGGAGTCGTTTTGTCCTCCTGAGGAGCTAAAAAAAAAAAGTTCTGATCAACTAAAATCTCTTTCTTGTAGGTTTATTTTAAAGTGTGGATGCACAACAAGGAATTTGATTTTTTTTGTGTGTCTTTAGTTGAATTTAGTGTAGCGGTGTCATATTCTGAGATGTTTCTCCATCACATCTAACTTGAACTGGATCAGTGATTGATGGCTTCTGCAGAACAAGACGAGGTGATTCAAGCATTGAATCGTGTGATGGAGCAGAAAAACAAGTCAAATATGCAGGATAGTGGTCCTCCAGGATCGGACACCAGTGCTCTAAAACCTCCAGGATAGAGGTCCTCCAGGATCGGACACCAGTGCTCTAAAACCTCCAGGATAGTG